CGCGCCTCTCCCCATCAAAGTACATTTCCTCTAACCATTCTTGAAGTGAGCAAGTAGGATCGCTCTCATCCAAGGTTTTTTTCATGGCATGCCAATCCATCTTCCAACGATCCGGCAAATCGTCGCTGACTGTCTCAAGCATCTGACGCACAAGGGTCGCAGGCGTTATCATGAAGCTGTCAAACGGCGGCTGTCCGACAACGAGCTCGAAAAGCTTCACAAGTCATTAGCTTTCCATCGAGTTATCTTGGGGCTTATATTGCCAAAGCCGAACTCACCAAACAACCCATACTCCAGAGATCTACACGATAATCCACCTGATCTTTGAATATAATCTCCGGGGCGCGCACGGGAAGTGGAGTACGTAGGGCGCCAGAACACTCGTCGTGTAAGAAAGATTGACCAAAATCAATGATCTTGATCGAGCTGAAGGATGACTTGATGTCTATAGGGTAGGAGGTAGGTCTGACGAGATATCGGGGCATGTTAGGTACTATTGGCTGGCCATCCTTTCTTTGGACAGCGCCCGTTTCGGGTCGCCCAAATTTCTGGAGGAAATCGTCTTTTCGCAAGGCTTGGAGCGAAGGGATCGTAAACGCTAGGTTGCGGGTGTGCAGATCTGAGGACGATGAGCAATTGCTTCAAACACTGGCATCATACTGTACCTGCATGCGCAAATTTCCGCTCGTGCAGGAAGCACAAACCAAGCAAAGCTTGTTCCGCAATTGTTTTCGCAAGCGTTCCGGGAAGCCTTCCCATGAAATGCGCGTCGAGGTAATCGGCCACACTCGGTCCTAACAGCTCTAGCACCAGGCACTCATGGTTTCCATTTGGACCACTGATATGGAAAGAATCTATCATTCTCATGAGATGGTGGTAGCCAGGCTGATCCGATTGCACCGCCGCTAATGTACGCAAGACTGCAGTCTCTCGATTCTGATGATATGTTTCAGATACCGATATCTTCAAAGCAACGTACGTTTGGCTTCTAATTGCACATCAGCTCAAGTTTTTCGATGTTGCGCAGAAAGCGGGACCTGACATCGCGCGCAGCCCAGACCGATCCGTCGATGGACTAGGCTGAGAGGGGCGTGCAAGTGTAGATGAAAGTGAACGTGTAGACGCGAGTGCCGCCATAGACGATTTGTTTACGAGCCCTTTCTGAACCGATATGGTGCGAGTTCGAGCGAACATCCTGGCGACGCTTATGTTTTCGCTTACACGCTTGCATTAGAATGTAAAGAATGTCTAGCTACTCTATTATAGCGTAAAGATTAGACTCTTCTAAGGTTAATAAGGCCTTAATATATTAATATAATTCTAGTTTTATTTACTAAAGCGCTAGTCCAAAAGTAAATTTTTCTTTTTATAATACTACTTACTTATATAAATAGTAAATATTATAAAGTTATAAAATTAACTTATAATACTAGCTTTTTTTTTACTTTTACTTTTACTAAAATTACTTACTATAGTAATTAATTAATATATTTACTAATACTATTTACTACTTAAGTTTTTTTACTTATTTAAAAAAAAAAATCTTTTTAATAAGTATAAGTTATAGCTATACTAAAAATAGCTTTTAAAGTAGTACTTTTAACTTTATAAACTTATTAGTATAAAACTTAAAAAAGCTAAAAACTAAAATATTAGTAACTTTATACTATTACTTAAGTAAATTATATACTATTATTAAGCTACTTAAATATAAACTAAGCTACTTTTACTTTAAGCTTATAAAGTATTTACTAGCTTTTTTATATATATATAGCTACTATTAATAACTTTTTAATAAATAAAGCTTTATAGTAAATTATATTAAGTTTAAAATTTAAAGTAAAAACTAAAAAAGTAAAATAAGCTATTTAGTTATTAGTAAAAATAAAAAAATAGTATTTAAAAAAAATTTAAAAGTTTAAAGTATTTATAATTATAATAAAAAAATAAAAATAGTAGTAAATATACTTTTATAAATATATTATTAAGCTTTAACTTTAGTTTTATAGTATAAGCTATTTCTACTTTATAAGCTATTATAATAACTTATTATATATTTATTATAAAGTTATTTTTAGCTATTATAAGTATATATAAAAATAACTACTTTAAATAAATAGTTTAGTAAACTACTATTACTAAATTTTTTTTTTTTTAATATATATAACTAAAGTATATAGAAAGACCTCTTAGGCTTAAGCGCAAAAGATAGAGAAGGTTAATAAGGGACTTGTAGACGCCAAGGCAATTATTATGCCGGGCCGCAAGTTGAGCCGGCGCGCGGTTCGAGCCACCTGAACATCACAACAACAGAATCGTCTGAACTTCAGCGCGCCGCAACTCCGCCAATACCGACCAGATACAGAAAGCGATTAGAGCTTTCGTTCCGCGCAGAGAAGGCGCAGATTTCAACGAAAGCCGGAAACGAGCTCACAGTCGCACCTCTCACGGGTGATGATCACGCCTGCCGGGCCGCGTTTCAACACGGATGAAAACAGAAAAAGCTCATTTGGGTGTCAGACTACAAAAGTACAATCATCTATCTATAACTAGGCTTAACACAGACTCTCGCCACGACTTTGATACGGCTTAAAGAAGTCGCGAATCGACATTCTCATCGACTCTGGAGTCCCTTCCACGACTGCCTGCTCACGCGTTTCTTCCTGGAGCCACTCGATAGCTGAGTCTTTACGTAACGGGGTTTCGCGCACACTGTTTCGAGACGCGACTACTCTCCTAGACTTCCTTTCACTTGGTTCACTGAGCTCCCGATCTTCCCGCTTCCGCTTATTGCCACTGGGGTGATAAGGCAAGTCTTCAGACGGTTCGGTCGGCTTTGGAGATGGCGTCTCTCTCTTGTCGTATTCCAGCGCTAATCGTTGCAGGCCATCTTCGAAGTCTTGAGCCTGTTGCGACATTGGTACGGAGTGTTTAACACCTTGCTCTGCCATGGCTTCGACGCTATCGTCGATGCTTACATCGCTAAATGATTGCTCGATATCATCTGGCATACTCGCCGATGGCGTCATGTCGCGATCAGCAACCTGACAGTCCTCATCTTGATACCCGCTGGATCTCTTGCAGTCATGCGACAGTTTTGTCGTAATCTCTAGGAGTGCCGGGGCTATCTCGTCCGTATCGCAAATAGTTTCCTCCATGCGCCACAGTTCCGCATCACTCTGAGCATGAGAATGAGATGACGCTGGCGAAGACGGTCGATTTCTGTGACCAGCATTGCGATGCGGGGGATTCCGGGCCCGATGTCGTGTATGACCATGCCTTCGTGACCGCGAAGGAGAGTAGTGGCTAGAGTTTTCCCTATCTCGCCCATTCAATCGTTCCCGACGCCGATGTCTTCTATCTCGAGATCTTGAGCGAGCGCGTGGCTCTCGGCGTCTGGGTACTGAAGCATCTCTTTCGTGCGCGCGGCCATGTCGAAACTCCTTCACTCGGCCTGCACCCACCCATACACGTTCGAGTTCGTGCTGGACTTTAATCCAAGCGTTAGTCCACCTCTCTTTACCCAATTTGATTGTATCTTCGAGCTTCTGGCGATGACGTTGGTTGTCTTTCAGCCCTTTTTGGCATTGCTCTTGCTCCACAAAAAGCTCTCTTAGAAGGTCTCTTTGCTCGCGTGTTGCCCTTCCATTCCTTCTCATCTCATCTTTTGTGATTTGGATGAGGTGCCCCACCTCTTTGTTCCAGGACTGCATTCTTATTTCATTCTCGAAACAAGTCTGTTCTCCCTCATCAATCTTCTCAGGTAGAGTCCAATACGAGTGAGCTATGCATAAGGCTTTGTGTATACCGTCTGCTAGCGATTCAGAAAGCAGTAAAGCTGTGCCATGCTTTCGGCCATCACGGAAATCTACGAGCTCTGCTGGCCCATCGATCAATCGTAACTGTTCCTTTCCAGGTACTGTCCAGTCATCGTAGATCCGTTCTCGTTGGTCGGTAAAGTGACTGGGATTATATCTGGACCAAAAGATATCGTCCATGTCGGAGATTTGGAGATCTGAAGATGGCAATGATGACATTGATGGCGATGAGCAAGATGATATAGGCTTGAACAAAGGAAGTTTAGAGCGCCACATATAACAACAAATGAAACGTAGTATGAGTACAATAAAGAGACGTATCTCTTTCATTGAGACCTTTGGGCTTGGTAGTCCTCGTCACTTGGCATTACTATCAATGAGTTCGCATGACTTTGACAGATGCTTGATGTGAATCACTGAGGCCGTGCCTCGGCAGCCAACCTACTGCGGGACCAACGTAATTGCCTCCATGATTCACTGAGGTCAGGGCAGGCGCAAGGCCTGCCTCTATTTCATCGGAGCCCCCTATGGAGCTACAGTCGTTACCGCCCCATTAGCACAACCCACTCAACCAAACCGGAGCTTTCCAAATCCCAAGTGTGTACACGGGAGGGGTCAACTCTCATCATGCCTCGATCGAATCGACTGGCAGACGCGCCTACAGGCCGTCACGACCCGTATCATACGCACTCTGACCCCGGCACTGAATCAAGGGACGATCCACATTACAGCGATGTGCCCGCACGAAGGCGTGACAACGATCGCGACAGGAGCCAAGATCGCCGGAGTCGCTCGCCTCGACGATCACCCCCTCGAAATCAACGTCGAAATCATCGCAGCCGATCTCGCAGTGAGCACCGAGAACGAAGTCACAGGTCTCGTAGTCGACGCCCAAGGCACAGAAATCATAGCCGGGGACGAGAACATACGGATAGATCTCGTAGTCGACGGCGGGACATAAGGCATAGATATCATAGTCGGCGACGAGAACGTACGGAAACATCTCGTAGGCGACATGAAGACGATGATAGAAGGAATGACCGAGCCCCCAGCCTTGAACGTGGCCGAGAGCGAGAAAGGCGCGAGGTACCATCTCGCTCTTCCCATCGTGAGCCCTCGTGGAGACGGCAACCTCGACAACGATCTCCCAGCACGGGCTTTACCATCTATGACAACCTCGCAATGAAAAGGCACTGGTTCAACTCCGGGTACGGAGAAATTCCAGGCAAGCCATACGACGACTTGACCAAGCACTTTCGCACTTCCGATATGGTTTCTATTCGATTCTGCGACTTCTCGTCTGACACTCAAGCGATAATTGGACAAAAGTTCACACCGTCTTCGCAAGGCATGATCAACGTCAAAGAAGATGTGCCTTTCATCATCAAACGCGTAGAGCCCGGCTATTTCCTTGGTTGGGCTGCTCACACCAGCGGTGGCCGCGGCTTGAAAGAAACGCCTTCAATACCGAAGTCGGAGTACGCGAAGTACATGGGGATCGCTACTGAAGGCCATTCGAATGGATCTCTCGGGAATGACAGTCCGCACAGCCTACTCGAAGTGAGGCCATTGGTGCAGTCGAGAAATCTCAAGCCGAAGACCCATGTCTTCGCGGGCGAGTTGATAAAGGTCACTCTCCCATCGAGGCCTCATCGCTGGGGTCAGCTCGAACCTGAGTTTTATTGGCCGTTGCAACGCCTGAGCGATTTCCTCATAGCATCTCCTGGATCTGCTGCCGCGAGGCTCGATCGTATCCCAAGAAACGCTGGATTGGACGTCGATGCGTTAAAACAGCTGCGGACCGCGGACGACTCCCTAGACGAGTACATGAAAGCTGGTCTCGCATATCTCGATGCTCTACACAAGCCGAAGCCATCCGATGACGACACGGACGCAGATGCCCGTCCGCCTAGGGCTCAGGCAGCACCGGATGACCGCAATCCACCTCGCACCGGGCGCCCCGTTGCTACGGACGTTCGCTCGACAGCGCCGCAAGATCAGCCTCGACAACCACCAACGAGGATTACGAACGCGCTGAGGGACCCAAGACCCCAACCACCCACAGGGCCGAGGTTAAAGCGCTCGCGCGATGGTGATGATCCTCCGGCGCCGAATGCCACCCGTCGACGGCGGAACTATTAGAGCGCTTGGCAGGGTCCTCGAGGCGATGTGGGAGGAGCCGTGGTGGGTATCCGTCTGCACTAGTCTCCAGTTCACAGTGAGCAGCGCATCACGCCAACCTAGGAAAAAACTGAACACCCTAGAGCCTACGTTGACGTTGGGTCAACCACTTTGCAGATTCTTGTCTTGATGTAATCTGCAGGCCTGTTCAGCTTTTTCCTTGTATGAGGTGGCATTGTGCTCAAGAAACAAAGCGGGGAGGAATGTGTCCAATGAGCAAAACGGGGCGGGCTGATCATCCAAAGAAGGCAAACTCTTTGTAGACAGATGCTCAAGTGATTCGGAATAGAAGGAGCGGGCTTTCTTTTGTTGCAAGACATGGGAGGCGGAAAAGTTCTTGGCTGTTCGCCGCCGTCTTCATCGGTGAAGTTTGATGAGATCAACACTTCATGAACGATGCGGCGCTCTAGACCTAGGGTCGGCTTTGTAATACGTCTCGGTTAGCCAACACAGTTGATGTGTGTATATACAAATGACGTTATGTTGTATATGTGTCGATGCGTGAGGATGAACCGACGGTGGATAGTGTCGTGCGTGAGAGACGATAGTTTGCCGAAGAGGAGTTGAGTGCTTGCCGTAGAGAAGAGAGCAACCATCAAGCTGCAAACAATCTGATGGACACGAGATGGAAGCTGCGAGCCATCAAATGAGGCGAGGTAGCGAAGGTTAAAGGTGGAAGGGTGCCCAAGCGACGATGCGGCTCCTTGCCCGCCAAGACCCCCGGAGATTGCCGGCGCCGATCATCACAACTCAAGGAAGCATCGCTCGTGAACTTCGACAACTGCGCCAGCTTCTTCTCTACGGGCTATACAGCATGCCCTGTGTAGTCACTCGTCACCTGCTCGTCGCTTGCGTATAGACTATAGACCTCCGTTCATACTAGCGCGTACACAGCTCCACCGCTTCCGCCAACCACCGTCGCGCCCATTCGATGGGTGTCTGCTCGTCATGCCTGGGAGGGCGAAGGACTTCTGAGTCTGACGTGAGTAACATGGATGCTTATATACCATATGCGGATCGCTGATACTCTCATATAGAACTCGGACGCCTCGCACCTACTCGGAGACCAGTACCAGCCGAACTATGGAACCGCCAGCAGCACCCACAACGCGCCCCAGCCAGACCCAGAGGAGCTTCGACGCCAGCGAGAGAACCTGGAGCGCATTTGCGCGGAGACGAATGAGTGAGTGCCGCCTTCCTCATCTTCGAGCGTTCCTTCCTGCATAGGAGTCTGCACCTTCCCACAAAGGCGCTCGCACCTTCCCGCAGAAGAGTCCGTACCTTCCGAATTAAAGACCACAAAGCCCCTTGGGGATTATCCATCTTCAGTAGGACATGCGCTAATCCCTACAGGCAACTAATCCCCGTCTCCCAACCGAGCGCCCTCCCCGAAGTCACCGAACAGCCGTCCAAAAACGACGAATACGCCCATCTCTTCAACGAGCGCTTCAAGTCGATACGAAGCCAGCGCCCGTCTTCCGCCGGCAACGACGACGACGACGAGACGACATGGCTCGAGAACGCCATGGGCAATCAGGGCGAGGATGAGCTGGAGCAGATTAAGCCAGCTAAGGGGAAGCTGACGATTCAGTTCGGTCAGCGGTAGACACCTGCACCGAGGGTTTCGAGGATGGCGATGTCTTTCGACCTTGTACGGGTTTTCCAGCTGAGGCTCTACGTACCTTTTCATTGTTTGTCGCATTCTGCTTTGCATCAGCGCCATTACGGATACCCATAATCTTTTCCTTTTGTTATTCCTACGCCTCGAAACGGGGTCGTTTACGTACGTTTTCAAGTAGCATAATCATGTCTGCATCGAATGTCTTCTCGTCTCCTTTCGTTCATGCGTGTCAAGAGTTGGCTTGGCAATGCCGTTATACGAGGCGCGTTCTTCTTCATTACTGATTTGATATAATTGGTTTCTAGATACAAGCTCCTACGATAGTACTTCGCTATCCTAGGCGAATGCCAAGCTGGTCAGACGAAGCCAACCAATGCCGACTCGCTACCCATGTGAATGGACTGATGAAAGTCCCGACAACTCTGTCTATCGCTGATTCGTCTAGCAACGCAACAAGGAGGCCAAGATAATCATCGCTCAGGCCAATGCAACACCATCACCGCCATCACCTACCCTAGACAGCCTTGAACAACAAGTCAGGAGGACCAGTCGCAGGCTTCTCGTCACTCACACCCAACTCCGCAAGCATACTACCAGCGCGCTCGTCCATCAACTTGGCCAACTCCTCCCGAAACTTCTCGTCGATGAAGTCAAGACGCAATTTCAAGCCTGGCTGCACCATGCGCTGCTTCTCTGGATCCAGCTTCTTGAACGTCTTCTTGCCCCATACCAAAGCCGCGCTCTCCATGGCGTTGAATAGGGCCTTGTTGTCGTCTCCGTCCATGGTGTCGGCGTTCAGGTACTTGGTTGCCATCTGCTCTACGAAAGCGCCAACGGTGCATTCATTGGCAGCGTGGTCAGCCTCGTTCTTCGTTGTGTCAGCTTTATCGTCGTCGATCACAGCTCTATACCCGTTACTTACGCTCTGCTCAGCCAAGGAGGCCACGGTCTCTTCTCCAGTCGTCTCGCCTGTCTGCTCTAATCCCATCTTCTCACGGAGATGCTTCTGGATGTACTTGTACGTCTCACCCTGTGGCCTCGGTACACCACCTCGCTTGATGATTTCGGGGATCCTTGAGGCAGGGTTGGACAAGACGGGGTTCTGGCGACTCAACAGCGGCTCGTCGTATGGTCCGATGGCAGCGTCGTAGAGGTCTGGATCGCCCTTGTAGTCGCCGCCTAGGTAGCCGTTTGACCGACCACCACTGCGTACACTGCCGTCGACGGGGTCCGAGTGCGGGGATGGCGGATCTTGGTAGGTAGGAGCGGTGGTTGATCGTCGAGTCGCGCGTGTGGCAGGCGGTGTCCGAGTAGCGGTAGCAAGGGCGCTCTCGGCGAAGGTGAGTTCAGTTTTGCGCTTCTTGCTGGGTGTAGGTGAGTGATCGTCTGGCTCGAAGTCGTCTTCGGAAGAGAGCTCGTCGACCTCACTGTCGAGAACAACCGGCTTTTTCCTGATCGAGCGCTTCTTCGCTGACGACTTCTGTGCAGACGCAGTAGTCTCCTTCGGCGCGGACACAACCTCACCCTCCTCTGCCTTAACCTCATCCTCCTTCTTCTCTTCGCTCTCACGTACGGGTGTGCTGCTCGCCACCGGCCTACGCCTCACCGTCCTACCCGCAGGAGTAGTACCGGCGCCAACCCCAGCCGCACCTGGCGTCGCCATATTACCATGAAGAAGGCCTTTGTTATTCTTAACCCGCTTCTCATAGCACGGCTGGCAGACCTGGAACGTACAGCCAGGACAGCGGCGCATAGTATCCATGTTACGCTGATCGCACTCTGTGCACTTGGCCGTGTGGACAGTCACCCGGCTAAACAGCGTCTCGTCGACAGTGCAGGGCTGGATTGCCGATAATGCTCCTGGAGTGCGGGGCGCGCGTGTGGGGAACGGGCTGCTAGATGAACGTGGGGTGTTGGGGAGGAGGGGGCGGTTACGTCGGCCTGGTGTGGACGGTGCGGGTGAAGGCGCGGGTACGGGTGTTGTTGCAGTTGGTACCTTAGCGTGAAGGCCCGCGTCTGGACCTGGTGTCGCTGGAGGATCCATGGCGCCACGTGGTGAGCCTTGCTCTGCTTGCTCTGGTGGGGGTGGGGGTGGGTCGGCTGCTGTGTCGCTCATGTTGTTTAGTTGCCTTGTCCTTGCGGAGGATGAGTGTACTGAGGATTGTATCGCAGTACTTTGAACTGTTAATGTGGACGCCGGAAGAAAAGTCGACGGTGGGGGATATATACTTTGAAAGATCTGAGACTGAAAAAGGGTCTCAGTAGTCGCCTGAGACTATGTCGGTGACTTGCCGCTCGGACCGTTATATTCTGATTCAAATCCGTACGAAGGGAGATTGATTCAGAAAGGTATTGATCGCAATAGGTGTGGACGGTAGAAAGCAAATGTGAAAAAGGCGCCACTTCTGATCAATCTGATAGACGTTGGTGCTTTACGCTCGGACTAACGCGGGGCACAATGACGCGAGATTCAGGCGCCAGAGTTGTAGAAATCGAACCAGAATGGAATGTCGGATCCGGGGCGAGCGGGTTCAAACGGGGGTGACTGAGGGTTATGGGTGGCGAGATCCCGAGGGATCGAGGGGTAAATGTTGCTCGTTCGAGGGAGTATTCACTGACTGGGACTGGGACTGTTTGGGGTCTTGGGCGTGACCTTAGGTGTGGCTTTGGGATAGACGGATAGAGACGGGTGGAGAGTGGAATGTATGTACAAGTACAGGTGCAAAGAGCAGAAAGAAGACAACCACCGCAACCACCACCAAGCTATATACAATCCTTCCGACGCGCTATGTGAAGAGAAGAACAAGAGATAGCCAGCCGACTTACATACACGACGGAAGCGGACTGCAAAACGAACAAGAAGCGGGAGGCGAACGAAGGACCAGTCATTGTTGATTATGTGAAGAGGAAATAGTTCTTTATAGAACGTGTGACATGGCGGGGCGCGGGTTCGTGCTGTCACATCTGTCACAAGTGTTATTGGAGTCATGAGTTTGGAGGGGATGTTGCGTAGCATTCACCTGTTCGGGGCCTGGGAGAGCTGCGTGCGTTGGTGGTACGGTGGTGACAAACGGTGGAGATGGCAAGTTGGAAAGTCGGGTTACTGGATGGGGTAATCGTGGTCGTTCAAGGCGTAAGTGGGGATGGAGATGTTGGATAATTGTAGTGTAGTCTGAATTTGATGTCTTTGATCTGGTTGTAAAGTTGTGTGACTTTGCAATGGTTTTCCGTGCACTCAGATGTCTTGAAGTGATGAGCCGCTCACAGCCGCCGCAATATGATTACTAAGCCTGCAAAGAGATGAGTCTGATTTGGTGATGTTGCAGCTACGAGGTACTGG